TATATTATATAAATTATTATAAATATATTATTATTATTAATATTAATGTAAATATGTATTTATTAGTATAACTAGTATTTATTATTATAATTGTATATAAAGTGCTTAATTCATTTATTATTAATTTATATATATAATGCATTATCATTATTATTATTATTTTGGTATTGATTATAAATAAGAATTTTCTTTCAAATTGCTTTTTTTTCCAAATGAAATTAGTGCAATTTCTATCTAAGATGGAATATTATATGTCATACATTGAAAATTCTCTATTGAAGCAAGCTGGAATTAAACCAATTATTTTTTAAGGTATTATGGTTCATAAATTTGGTTCATTGAAGATACCAAGTCTCCATGCATTAGTTTATTTGTTAAATTTATTTATTTTTTTTTTTGCAAAATCTAGTTTGGAAATGCTTACATAAATAATAACAATATTTTACAAGGTGAAATTTTACATTCCAAAAATTTTGACTGCAATAATTTTATATTTTTAGCCACTGAAAAATACCATTAGTATTTAAATATGTACGGATATAATATATGCATATAAATGAATAAATAGTACAAAACCTTAAATGTAAAAGTTATGTAAAATTTCAATGTATGTATACATTATGTATGTATGTATGTATGTATTATGTATGTATGTATGAATGTATGTATGTATGTATGTATGTATGATGTATATGTATTATGTATGTATGTATGTATGTATGTATGTATGTATGTATGTATTATGTATGCATGCATGCATGCATGTATTTGTAATAACGTATTCATCATATTTATTTATTATATGTAATGTACTTATGTAAATTATGTATGATGTATGGCTATGTATGTATGTATGAAATTTTTGTGGGTTGTTATGTGGTATGTTTTAAAAAATTGTTTGTACATTTGTTGGTAAATGTAATGTTGGATTTGGTTTTAAATATTATAGAACTTTTTGTACATTGCATTCAAAAATAAAGTGGTTTTCCAGGAAAAAACTGCAAAATTAATACTAATAAATTTGAATTTTTTTTATATTTATCTTTTTATTTTTTAAACGGTCTAAATCATTTTTTTGAACATATTTTTACAAAAAAAAAAAAATTCTGTAATCATTAAAAAATAAAGTAAAAAACTTTTACAAAATTGGACTATTCATAGTTTGTACATTCAAAAATTTATTTTAAAAAGTTTCTTACCTGGATTCGTTAAAAAAACCATGTTTTATGCATTTAAAAAAACCCAAAAAACAAAAAAATAAATAAACAATCCAAAAAAACATTTTTTCCTGTATTCTTCCGGAAAATTAGTTTCGGTCTAAATTTAAAAATGGTATTGTTTAAATGTTTATTTTTTTTAGATTTAGATCAATGCACCAATGCCAGTAATTTTACCACGAAAGAAAAAACATTTTAAACTTGAGTTTTACGTTAAACTATGTTCTTTAGAACCCCAAAAACAAGAAAATTTAACATTTGTTGATTTAATTTTTTTTACTTTTTTTTTTTAAAATTGTGAACATAAATTAATTCACAATTTTTATCATAATTAATTGTTAAAAATTAAAATAAATATGAAACATTTTGTTATCATATGTTGCATAAGTTTAAATAAAATTGATAAATAAATTTTTAATTTAATTTATAATGTATGCATTATATGGGATTCAATAATAGATTTTTTCTGTTTTATATTAAAAATTAAAAAATTTTGTAAAAAATAAGAAAATGAATTTCAAAGCATATTTTTTAATTCTAATGAAAATAATTAAATGAAAATAAAATGTGAATATTAAAACATATAGATCCAACATCAAAAGTCCTACAAAGATAAATTCCAGTTATCAATCAAAAAAAAAAACAAAATGTGGCAACAAAATAAAAATGTTTGTATTCTTGAAACGGTTCATCAAATGCAATAATGTAGCTATGTCAAAAAAACCATGTATTATTTAAGCCAATTGTCAAAATTGATCAAAACGTGAGTATAAAAATGCACAATGTCATTAAAAAACACAAAAAAATAAAATTTTTTTAATCACCCTTAACACTGTAAATGGAGGTAAACAAAAATGTATGCATCATTGCATTTTCTATCGATCTTTAGTTTTACTATTGATTTATGAAGTTTAATTGAATTGAAAATTAAGTCTTTGCAAGATAAAAATAAACACAAATTAATAAACCCATTATATAAAGAAAATAGAAAGCTGGCTCCCAACGTCCTCAACAGATTGAAGTGATGCCCCCAATAGTAGAACATTTACAATTTTGATCGTATGTTGGTATTTAGTATGTCGCAAAAAATTCCCCCCCACCCAAAAAATTTAAAAAACTAATAGGAATCGAACCTTCAGAAAACATCAACAAAATTTTATTACTTCCTAGGGTACTGTTTCTAATAACAAAATTATAACCAGTTAAAAAATCAAATTTCTTTCATCCAAAATCCATACGTTGGATAAACCAACATTTTTACCACAAAACCTGCCAAAATTTGCAAACAAAACTTCCTATAATTAAGGAAGATATATCAAATTTAGTTTTGGTTTCTTAAGAACAATTGGACCTCAAATTTCACCCTATAGAACACCAGCACAACACTTTCTGACAGCTGTCACATGTCTTGCTTGCAAGGAAATTTCAAAAGACTTTCAGTATGAAGTTGAAACAGTAGTGGCATGCAAAATAAAATGCAAATATAAGGTTTGACAAAAATATTGACCCTTTCAGGAATCAGTACACAATTAATAAAATCCGGTTCAGTACCCACGAATGTATTCCCAGTCTACTTTTAGATCACTTTTTCCTGTCTGAAATTGGTGGTGATACTAGAGTTAGATTTTGGCATTCTTGGTAAGGATTTAAAGGCAATTGTTTATTTTTTAAAATGTGAGCTTATGGTGTGGTTGTCTGTGTGTATTTCGGCGACAGTGCACATTGAGTAATAAGGTCATGGTGATGATCCGGAAGTGAAATCTGTGTTCCGTTGCCTGGTGTTTTGTTTACAATTCAGCCTCTCAAAAAAATGCAGGTCAACCCTTGACAAGAACTAAACCATAAAGTGATCTTTGAATGTATTTTAGATTAACATATGATTTGTATTGATTGTCACTCAGTGGAAAGTTCAGTATTGAGAAACAAATGTAGAGACAATATAGTCACAAAAAAACAGCCTCACCCATTCGACAATTTGGACAACCCACGTGACAAAGGGTCCATAACTCCTTTGAATCAATTCCAAAAAATCCCAAAATAGTACTTAGTCCTAACAGTCATAGATGAACTTTGTAATTCCAATGAAAGGTTTAAATAAATGATGTCTCTCAAATTAAATCTAAACACATCAATTAATACGTACGCAACTGAAAATAAAATATGACAGTAATAAACATATAAATGGAATAATTATTCACCACTATCATTATAAGTATGCCTCTCCAATACTAGATGTCGCAATACAGCACCATGTGATCTATGTCATAATATGTCAACATATGTCACATTAAATGCCCACGTGATTTATGTCACAAATTTTCAACTATCCAATCGGAAAATTACAGCAAACTATACACGGGCTCATTTTCTAAATATGCATAATATTTAATATAATATCATTATCTTCAAATAGAATCTAAACTCATATTCAAAAGTTAGCTATTTGATATCTTGTTTATACAATCTAAAGTCATTGACAAAAATTAATCACACATTACATAACAGAACTTTAGTTTAAATTAGCTTACTTGGACTGAACGTGGCATGACCTGATCACCTGTCTGATGCATACAACAACTGATTGTTGCATTACATATCTGATGGCTACAATACCAAAAGCCTTTTAAAGTTCTATAAGGCGAGAATGTCATCTAACTTTTGCGGTCATGTGCGTCGTTCGTATCAGTACGCATTTTTGTGTTTTGTTTGAAACACGCTTTATTCCTACAATAGGATAAAATGGGATTGGGAATAGGTTCTAAAAAAGTATACCTCTCCCTATATGACACAAGTATTGCAACTTATTGAATATAACAATATAATAATTAAAATTAATTGGAGAGAGAGAAAGAGAGAGAGAGAGAGAGAGAGAGAGAGAGAGAGAGAGAGAGAGAGAGAGAGAGAGAGAGAGAGAGAGAGAGAGGGGGGGGGGAGGGGAAGGCGCACAGGCACTGTGACGGTAATCACGATTTGAGTAAGTTTTTGGAATCATCCAGTAGCGGTTATATATTTGCATACATGCTGCGAAATTCTATATTTTCATTTGCGATGCCCTTCCCTAAAGCAGTAAATCTAAGCGAATAGGTTCATATGACATTAAAAGTAAATTTCTCATCAACTCAGCTCGTTGTATGTTGTACTTTGGAAAGAACACGAAATAGTGCATGGTGGCTTCGATCCCATCGCATGAACATGTCATCAAGTTGAACACAGTCAACATCAGTTTTTGATGAGCTTACTCTGTGTTGTAATATAGTATGGACAATATCCAGTGTTCTTGGCATCTTGCAAGATACAATTTTCGGGCATAAACACTTTTTCAAGCACTGTAAGGCATACTTCATTGAGTATCATGTTCGAGATTGTTCCACAGATACTGTTTGAAGTTATAAAAGATGATTTGGTAGAATTTAGGCTGAAACTGCAAATGACTGTATTGTTTGAACGTCAAATATTATAATCTTTTAGTTAGGATACAGGGGGAGGGAGTAATTCAAAGATATAGTCTTGAGTTTGGCTCATTTTAATACTGTAGAGTGTTAATTTCTGTCTTGGCTCTTTTTAATGCTGTACAGTGTTAATTTCTGTCTTTTTTTCATGAATGTAGAATTCCCTACCCTTCTTTAATTCCGAGAGATTGCCTACTAATGTATTTTGGAAGTCATGTAACTATTCTTGCCGCTTCGAGCATCCGTTCCTGACTACACTGGCATATTTAAGCAATCAACGAGCATCCGTTCCTGACTACACTGGCATATTTAAGGATCAAAGAGCATCCGTCCCAAGCTACAATGGCATATTAAGAGCGTCCGCCTCAGATGCGGGAGGTCGTGGGTTCGATCCCCGGTCGAGTCATACCAAAGACTTACAAAAATAGGTACTAACAGCTGCCTCATTTGACGCTCAGCATTAAGAGGTTAGTGTTAGGACTGGTCAGCCTGGTGTCAGGATAATGTGACTGGGTGGGACATCATGCTAAATGTCTGCGGCATGAAGCCCCAGTGCTAGACATCACTATAAACTGCCACACTGCAGACATCGTAATGATATGACTGGAAAAATTGTTAAAGCTACGTTAAAAATTATAAACACCACACCACCGTCCCAAACTACACTGGCATATTTAAGGATAGGCTTGATGTAATTTATCTACAGATGTGATAAAATTTGCCTGCTTAGTTTGTGTTTTAGTTTTCGTAGATGAGCTGTTCAATATGATGCTGTATTTAAATTACTATCGATTTGACAATTCCATTTTGTATTTGGTGAAAGTATTAATCCTAGATGGCGATGAGAAGCCACATATTTAAGCTTGATATTATCAAAAACTAGATCAGAATTGTTTATTTCTTTTTGTTCGTGAAAAACATAACCATTGTTTTTTTCTGGATTAAGTTTTAAGAGCCATTTCTTGGACCAGTGATTCAATTTTATGGGGTCATTATTCATGACAAGCTTTATTTCAGGACAAATAGGGGGTGACTAACTCATCATCTGCAAAAAGACGAGTGAGAAAACTCATACCATCGTCAATATCATTTACATAGATGAAAAACAATTACGTCTTTTATATGCAGCCATTTGCATTAAACCTACTTGCAGCTTCTTAATTAGTATCAATTTGAATAATACAACACCAAGGTTTGATTGTAACTAAACCCCACGCATAGTGTTAAAGCATACTTAATTTTACCTCGATACTCAGGTCTAAAAGCCACAAAATTAAAATATTACGATGTGGGGCAAACAGCCTTTTTTTTCGGAACGGGTATAGCAATTATTTAGTCTCGCGTGACTGAATCACAGGAAAACAAGAACGCCGGATTCTTTAAACTAATTTTGTCCTTGTTTTCGCTTTCAAAGTCGAACGTTTTGGTTAATCTTAATTTTCTTTTCTGTTATTTTATTATCTTGCAAACATCGTATCCTTACATTTGCTCCCGCGGTTGTAACGAAGTTGGGGAGGTAGTCAAGAATGGGATTTACACGAATGTCAAGTTTATTTACCTTTCTGGCGATGGGGGGGGGATTCCAATTTTTGCAGGGCTCCTAAAATTGAAACTCACGCCAATAAATATAACCAATAAGAGTTTTTCTAAACGAGCCTTGGAGCACCTGAAGGAAATGCTTACTTTCCACAACGGTTCCGATATCAGCACATTTTATTCATTCTGGCATTGAATATTCAGTAACAAAATTCCTCTCCACCAAATAACCCGTATATTCAGGTTGATACCTGAGATAGGACAATTCGATATGCCAACACAAGAAAGGCATGCGGCGTGCTTGGGGATAGATACAAGACAAAATAAAACAATTTGTATATGTGTTGAATAAATGTAGGATCGTGAATTCAACGCCTACTCTTATGATACCAGGTGTATTGTTTTATTGCTCGAAATTCCCAACAGACTCAGCATATTTTTGAAAGGGATGGGCAGAATGATTTTGTAATTCAACTACATGTACTTTTTAAATGATATTTTTTTTTCACAACTAAACATAGGTTTTAAATATTTTTTGTTAAAGGTTTCACGGAACAGAAACTTAATAGCACATCTCTGCCATCATCATCTTTTATCCTTATTTCCGTGATAACTATGTTTTACATGCTATTTTGCTTCATTTTTATTTATTTATTTTAGTAGGTGTGTATCTGAGGTGGGTAATAAAGAAAACTTGCATGTATAACTCAAAGATATTAAAAATATTTTAATCAAAGTAAAGACTTAGGATTGGAAAGACTATGCTACGTTTGTATTTAAAAAAAAACACAAAGCAATAATGGCAATTGGCATCAATGTCGGACTGCATTGGATAGTTTGATTATATGGTACGTTCCATGACGTTTTCTTAGTCTCAGCTCAACACCAGCAACTCTCTAAGTTACCTGTCAATTCTTCCATAATCCATTGTAAATTTTCTTACACCTATTCATATCGTACAGTGAAATGGTTCTAATTACAGATAGGTTTCTCATAGCAGCAATTATATTTGGAAATGCGAGATTTGAGGAATTATAATGGGAAATGCGAGATTTAAGGAATTATATTGGGAAATGCGAGATTTGACGTTTCTATAATCTATTTCAAACTGGAATTATGGTTTTTGAACGAAAAAAAATGGATAAAAAACGATCGTAGTAGCTCATCTTTCGCGTTATTTAATCACTAATGTGATCGGAGTTCGCAAGAAGCAAGTTAATATCATCCGAATGTTTTCAGGTGGTTGTTCGCTTACAGAAATTAAAAGGAAATTAAAGTTGCACAAATATTTGACTTCTTGTTCGTGCTACACTGTTCTGTATAACAACACGAAACTACCGGTGAAACTCACCCCCAGTTTTCATCGCAAATTTTGCATGAAAATAAAATGTGCAATGTGTGCACGTAAGTATTTCTCCGTGATAAGCATCTATGCTTGTGCATGTGATGTCTCATGAGAACAGACCCATACATGCATACATATAGTTACATATATGCATCTAAAGGTTGTAATTATATTGACAACAAGAATCTCTTGTAAGATTTTTCTTGATATGCCCGTACAAATTTGTGGAAATCGCTTGGTTTTCACTTCTACAAAATACGTTTTCAATATAATGTATAATATTAAGTTAAAGAAATGAGATACTTAGTTTAAACCTGCTAGATCGGTAGTTTGTTTTATGCGTTAATCTTCCGTCCTAAAAACGGCAACAGAGTAGATTCTCTCATCCGAAATTCTACTTTAAGTAATTTCTTTTACCCCGACGAAAAGACTACTCTCGACTCTATTGTTTTGTTTTTTTTTTCCACTATGGCAAAGTCACTCTAAGATTGATTATATTTCCCTTAGAAGAGACTTTATCCCCAGGAAGTATTTGAAATATATAATTCAGATAATAAAAAATACTGACGAAATGTAAAGCATATGCATGCGTGAGTGCAGATTTATGCATCGAATAATTGTAATGATGCTCAGAAATCTCAAAGACTACACAAGACATATTTTGCTTCTTTAGCTTAATTATATCCCAACAAAAGTAAATTGAATAAAATATTCCTCTGGGGAAAAGAGATTCAAAATTAATTTATGTTTCTTCTCCTTAAAAAAATGTTAACTTAGAGTAAAATTTCCAAAGAAGTCTACTTCGGCGATTTTGTTTAAACGACAAAATTCAATATATAAAACTTGTAACAACTGACAAAACGTTTGCCATACGACAGAATGCGGCTACCATATTCTTCCACCGTGCGGTAGCGGTAAATTTCACCCCAAAAAATATCCAAAATTGAAATGTGGTGGGAAGGATCAGCAGAAATTTTACATTGTGTAAATACATCTAATTGTATACAATTTGATACATTTAATTTTTTTGTGCTTCTTGCATTTCAGCTCACTTTGGAATGTTAATACTCTCAGAAATTGCTGACTGTAATGCGGTAATATAATTCATTCATATTTTAGATAAGACGCCCAAATATGCAGTAAAGTAGTATAACCTCTTGTTGCTAGGGTCAGGGGAGCTATCGTATTGTAAGAAATTGACGTGTTACAGCCTCATCTGTTGTCATAACGAGGTATTATTTTATGCTAACTTCCGTGATGCTAACTTACAACGTGTTAGATGCTACATTATAATCATAATTTTTGAACGTGCAATCTATGCAACTTGTGATATAGCAAGTTTATAACTAGAATATTAAAACTTGTAATAACTGACACAGCATTTGCCAGACGACAAACTAAAGAATTAGCTCAGTAGTTGACAAATTGCAAGATGGCGGAGAAGTAAAGTAGATTTAAACACTTGCAAGCAACTATTAGCTTGCATCAATGAACAGAAAATTCATGACTAGAATTAGGAATGTAGTACTTGCAAGCCGCCATTTGTAATAATGCAGAAGGAAAGTAACATTTGCAAACTGCCACGTACAGTTTGCATTAATGAATAATACAATATACATAGATACAATTAAAAAAGCAGCACTTGCAAGCAGCCATTTACAATAATGCAATCAAGGAGAATTAGAAAATACATGCATAGAATTATGGCGGTAATCCCCCTCCATATGTGTGTGGATTACATGTTTATTTTGGTTTTTTTTACAGGCCAATGTTTCAGACTGACCCAGTTTGGATCATGCTATATACACATCCAACCTTCACAACTTTAGGTGTTTTCTTGAAACCGATCAATACTGTCTTTGCATTATGGGATTGTGTGGTCTGCATACAAAATCGACTTCCCTACAATACTGAAGAGCTTGACAACATACCAATCTATGCACCTCCAAAACTAAAGATTTGACAACGGAGCTCCAAAAAGCATAATCAATATTACGTTCTGCAGAAACACGTATTAACACACTTTTATGAAGAATTTTAGTAAGTCATGAAAATAAGCAAAGTAGTGGGGCCAAATGTTTAGAACTATTTTGTTACTTGTTACCATAGAGACGTATCGTCAGAGGTGGTCAGCCTATTTATAATATTCATAATTAGATATTAAATCTGCAGATATCAGAGACACTTATTTAAAGAATATAGCGCAGAGTGGTTGCACATATTGTAACAATTCAAGTAAATGGTACAGCTGTATACTATATCTAACCAGGGTACAGTCTTTATACACCAACATCATTCAAAACAGCAGAAATTGTATGAAACTGTTTCTAAAACCGATTGGCATTTTCATGTTTAAAACAAATTTCTTACCCACTTTATCTGATATTCATTTTACATTAATAAGCATATTACACGTTTTGTACATTTATTTGTTTTTATATTAAGTGTCAAATCTTTAACCACAGGGTTAGGAAATGATCATTGTTAAAAATATTGTACATAACGGCTGCATATTTTCAGCTTTT